ACATTCCCTGCAAATCCTGCCGCTTGGAAAGGCCGGTGCAAGCTGAAAAGATCTGGGAGGACTTGTCACTGGGAGCTGGAGGCAAGTCAACAGCAACAGGGAAAAGATAACAGAGCAGAGCAGTGTTGGTCTGCTTTAATGCTATGTCCTTCTCTCTTCGACTCTCCCATTTATCTGTGTGTTTCCTTCACAGGCTCTGAGCATCCTGTTGCTCCCTCATAACATCCCTTCCAGCCTCAACCTCCTCACCAGCATGATTGATGATATATGGCACTATGCTGGAGACCAGTCTACAGACGTAAGTCTTTGTGCTTCACAGACCAGCTGGTTCTACCCCTCGGCACTTCAGCAAAATGATGGGTTGAAGAAGGCATCAGGCCACGTCTCTCTTGAAATGATCTGTTTGTTGAATGAGGAAGACATTTGCAGAAGCACCCAAGGGTCCTTATAAGCTATAGTCTAATTTCCAAAGAGACTTAGGAGCCAATGGGACTAAATGCAAATTAATGCCAATGGGATTAGTGCAAATTAAAAGGACCTACTTTCCTAGACTCTTTTAAGTGCTCTTTTTTTTTTTTTGAAGACACAGACAAAATTGTTGAGATTTTGAGACTAAGAAGTTGATCCAGTATTCAGTGAGCAAGCAGCGTCTCTGTTGAAGCAGCTGTCTCTTCCACCAGCAGTAGCATTTACAGATCTGACTTGAAAACCTTTAAAGAACTTACCTAAAAATACCAGTAGCTTATTAAAGCTTTCATCTTTCTGGCAGGAAATAAAAGAAAATTATAACCTTAATTAAAGCAATTAATAAATTACTTTAATTCATATAGATGTAGGGAGAGATGGGAAAAGCTAAATGAACCATTTTAACAAACTACTTTAATAAGCTTCTTTCATCTGAGTATAAAAGAGAAGCTACTGCAGTGAAAAATAAATAAGATGACAGAAAAATTAAAGAAATAAACCAGAAGAGAACTGAAAGACTGTGATTGTGTCAGGAACTGCAAGTCCCTTACGGGTTATGAAAGTCAAATCAACACGTCAGAGTCAGTGTCTGCACTGAGCTGTTCCTAAAATCTCCTCACCAACACAGAATGTAGGAGAGGTTCTGAAGTTTGTCTTTTGTTTGCACCTTCTGACCCGTTACAAGAGTTTTCTGGGGAAGCTGTGATGCTGAGCCCCCTTCCTCTTTCCCAGTAAAGGGGCTTAACGTCACTCGCAGTGGAGCGCTCTTTGCAATGCCAGGAGCTAGGTAGAGTATGCCCATGCCTCAGAGAACCGTTCAGGTGTTTTTTTCAGAGCAGGAGGAGAATCAACATAAACAGTTTGCTTTCAGGCACCTGAGAAATCCAGCTGCAAGTGGCAACATCCCTCATGTTTGTCCCCTTGTCAAAGTTTGCAGGTCCTGGTGCAGACAGTAGAGCTTTCGAGCCAACTGTTGTTTTCAAAATCAAGGCTGGTGTTTTCATTTCTCTGTTGCTTTGTAATTGTTAATGGAACAACCAGCATTTTTTCCAGGTACCCAAACAGTTTAATCACTGTAATAGCAGCAAATGAAGTTGAAGACTCATTTTTAAAAATGTTTATATTTCACCTGCCAGTGGTGCAAGTGCAACTGGAAAAACTGAAGAGTTTTAGTTATTTGTGCATCTTTGCATTGTGTAACCTATTGTTGTAACACATCCTATGGTATTGCTGCCAGCAATGTACTGATGCATTTAGTGATTCAGCAGGCAGTACTGGTATTTCAATGATAGGATTTGGGAAAGGTGTACCTCTGTGTGCTGTCTTGCACCGTTCTGTCCTCTGTTCGGTCCCTTTCTTCGTGCTTGTATCTGGTGTGAACTGCAGCTCAAGTTCAGTACTAAATATAGCCTTTTCTCATCTAATCAGATCTAGAATTGGAGCTTTCCATTGCCTGCTAGCAGTCTGTAAAGCAAAGGTGAACTCTTGCGCTGTGCACGCAGGCTAGCTGGGCAAGGGAGAATTCCTTGCTGTCTGCTGCAGGTGCCTGCTTGCAACCAGAAGCAGGTGGTGGGGATTTTGTTCAGCAGTTTTAGACACCGTACTTGTGACCTCTGTCTGGTGCCGCAGGAGCAGCTGCGCTGTCAGATGTCCATGTTGGCTGGTGGCCCACTGCATCACAGAGACAAGTAACACAGTTTAAGTGGGGAAGGAATGTGCTATGTGTATGCTATTTTTCCTTTGCCATTCTCTGGTCTGCTTTTGTGAGCTGCATTCTTAAGCTGCATTCAGGTCAAACCTTTCTTTCTCTCTCTCTCATTTCATGCCCTTGCAGTTTAACTGGTATACTCGTCGGGCTGTGCTCACTGGCATCTACAACACCACCGAACTGGTGATGATGCAGGATTCATCCCCTGACTTCGAGGACACTTGGCGCTTCCTGGAAAACAGAGTAGCTGATGCCATGAACATGGGCAATACAGCTAATCAGGTAACGTTATGGGCAAGGTATACACATGCAGCATCCCCCTTCTCCCCGAATATACATGCAGACAGACCTGGCTTTTTGATCATGCAGACCACACGTCTGCTGAGAGACCACCTTGTACTGGCAGGTGACTGCATAAGAGCTGTTGGTTCAACATCAATAAATGCTTACATATTTTCTAGTAAAATGACATATATAGGTGCCCTCTTTGTCAGACTGGCCCAATGGTTGAGAGACATATATTCCCAGGAAATCTGTTCTGTGTTTCTTATCTCTGGCTATCGTTTGTCTGCAGTGCTTGGCTTCTGTCAGCACCTTTCTGTAGCAAATACATGTTTGTTGTGCGTTATGTCTCTGTGTTTGGGTGGCCACAAGTATAACTGCAGAAGAAAGCAAAAGGTTGTGTTCTCCTTGTGTCTCCTAGGTACAGTCAACTGGAGAAGCAGTTGTCCAGGGCCTGATGGGAGCTGCAGTTACTGTAAGTAATGCTGAAACCATCAGGGCTGTAAGGGCAGAATTGTTTCTGTTTCCTTTCATGCTGAATGTCAGCATGTCTTTCCTCCCAAATATAGAGGACAGACAACATGAAAAAGAATTGTCTTTCATAACTTAACTACATGTAAGGATCATTTTCTGGGTGGTTTGTGGTTAGTTCTCTGTTTTGTGGTGAAAGAACTTGTAATAGAGTGTAAAAAATTAAGTCTGAAGCTGCAGGGAGGGCTTTAGGGATGAGACACAGGCGATCAGAATAAATACAACTGTTCTCCATCACTTATCAGAAGATCTCTTCCTCTGCCAGTCCCTGCGTGGGAGATCTTGATGGAAGGTCTGTGCCCCCATGGACGCACGGGAGGTGGCACCCGGCCCTAAGCCACAGCAGGGTGGCTTCCTCGAGCTGTTTCAGTTAACTGCAGTGTCCTTCCAAGAATTCATTCACTTCTCGGTAGCATCGTGGACTGCTTTGTGTCCATGCAGGGGGAGCTGCACTTCCTCTGGGATAGGAGACAATCCTTTGTGTACCAAGGAATGATTTTTGAAGGGCTTCAGGGCTTCCCTGTGATTCTATTTTTGGACAACTCCCTTTGCACTTAGCAGCAAAGTGATTTCCTTGTTACGTGAAATAAGTTTTCCTTGTGCTCACCAGTAGAAGACAAATAGGCTGGAACATAATTTAGAAATCATTTTTACTGTATGAAGCAGTTCTCGAGAATTTCTCCCACCTCCTTCCCCCTGCAGTTATGGTGGAATTGTTTCAGATCTTTAGCATTTCTCAGCCTGCCTCTGCTTTCGCATCTGCGTTATGCCAAAAGGATCCTCCACTAGAGAAATCCCCGCACTCTGTTTGTGCTCTTGTATGTCAACATGATGCTCTCCTGCAAATTGCATCCATGCAGTTTGGGTCTGAGATGTCTCCTATTACCGAATGTTTAGTCTGTTCGTGCCACAGATCCCCTGTGCAGATAAACAGGAGGAACTAGGCTGCTTCTGAAGGGGGGTGGGTTGCAGCCAGCTGGTTTTAGGGCAAAATCGTCCCAGTAGGTTAACCGTTAGGGGCAACCAGTCTGAAACTCCCATGTCTGAGAGTGCTGTACAGGGGTGCTGAGCTCTCCAGGTCTCTGCCAAACAGACAAGCGAGCTGAATGCCTCAAAGGCTTAAATTCACTGTTGGGGGCCGTGCGGCTGCAGAAGTAAAACCAAGCTGAAACCTACTGACCTAGAGAGCAGGTTCAGGTCAGAGGGATGCCTGTGGCTGGATCTGGGGGGATATTTCTCCAACCCTTGTGCATTCATCCCCGTCCTCTGACCACAAACGGTGCCTTTCGCCCGCACCTCTCAGCTCCCAAGCGCACAGCCCCCCTTCGCTCCGGCTCCCGAGGCCCATTCCGGAGCCAGACCTGCTGCCCAGCAGTGCTGAAACCTCCAGGGCTGAGCAAGGCCTCTGCCCCCGGGGCACGGGTGCTTAACCCCCTTCTCCCTCTGCCCCGCAGATCAGAAACCTGGCGGGGTTGAACCAGCGCCGGTGAGGAGGGCCCCGCCGCTGACGGCGCGGGAGCGAAAACGGGCCGCGCCCGACCCTTCCCCGGCACCAATAAAACCGCACCCCAGCCTAGCACGGACTCTTTTTGGGGGAGCACCGGTGGCGGAGCGGGGGAGCGGGGCGGGGACGGACCGGGCGGGTCCTCCGGGCGGGTCCTCCGGGAGGCGGCGGCGGCGGCGGCCGCCAGGGGGC